ACTTGCTGATGGTGTTCGACGAACGTATGCTTTCGTGAATTTTTTCTAACTATACTTTAGTATTATTATCTTGTAGTTCATCGAAAATGAGTCTTTGCCCAATAAAGAAAATGGAAACTAATCAATACGACGCATGTGCGCGTGTGTTTTACAATAAATGTGACTTGCACAGACTTGAGGGCAAATTCACTAGGAACGCTGAGCTTCGATTTAATTTCCACAAAGTGTGCGTTTCACGCTCGTATTTTGCTATGGTTTAAGATTACTTCAGATAACAATTTTTTAACTCATCGAAAGTGTATCAAGATAATTGAAATCTCAGCCATCTAACCTTTAAGCTAACGGAAATTGATTCCGAGTTGCCGCCGCGATACTGCTTGAGGTCGAGATTAGAGGGTGTTGTCTACCTTACGGCTCTAATCATTTTACTCTCCTTCTTCCTTCATTTCTCTTTCCCTCCTCCTTTCTCAATGTTATCACTTCAAATTCAAATTAAGTTATCGCAATTATTCTGCAATTTAAACTTCAACTTTGCTCTATTGTTATTTCAATGCCCTATAGTAAATTGAACTCAAATCTAACTATTATATCATAATTCAAATATCATTTTAACGTAGATTATTATTTTTAAATGTCATTAATATGGTTTGTAGTATCAAAAACATGGAGTGGAAAGAGTTGAAGAACAAAAATTTTCGTATTAAAACGATTAGAAAAAGAAAACTTTTTTGCGTATCGCATGCAATATCAGTACAATTTTTGATCATAGGGTGCGGATTATCGATGGCTCAAGTTTGTAAAAAATCGCAGAGTCGATGAAAGTGAGGAAAAAAAAGAGAATTTGGATGGAAAAAGCAGCGTATAGCAACAACAGAAGAAACGAGAGCAAGACAGAGAGGTATAGTGCAGAACGTACGGTGGAATTCCTTTATCTGCCGCGTCACTATGAGATTCTTCCAAGACACGCTGATTTGAAATGCCTTTTAAAAGGCCCTACCATACTTCTTCTTCATCTTTTGCCAAACAGGGATCCTCTTCTCTTGTTCTCGTTTTTTCGCCGTGGCAGAAAATTGAGAGCCGAAGAAAGAGTGCCGTGAAAGACTTATAAACTCTGCGCATATACTCGATTGAGCCAGTAGCATCTTGCTGCTTCTCGCTCCTCGTCCCTTTGCCAGCTCTCTCACTCTCTTTTGCTCACTCAAACAATTTGCATTCAAGGAATTTTGCGGGCGCGCCAAATCATCGTCGAATAATGATGTGCGCCCGCGAAAGAGGAAGGAAAATGTATATCATGTGTGCTTATATAGATAATTATATGAGGTAAATGGACATGGGTGCGAGAGCAATAGGGAACAGAAATTTAATCGCAATTAAGGCAAGAAATAATAGAGAGAATCTCGTGAATTACGAGTAATCAAAGTTAATGGAAAATTTCGTTTTTTCAAACTTTTCCACACCAAATGTAACTGCACGTCCGTTTGTAAAAGCATTTGAGGTCAGTTTAACGTGAGATCTTTCATATCTACATTGCTGAAATGCACACACTACGTGTTTGGAAAATATCTCACCATTCTAGCGGGTACAAGTAAATAACGTGATAAATTCGGAAAATGATACAGTATTTCAACTGATCTGGCAAGGTGAAATGAACAATTTTTTTTATTACGAAGAAAGTAAAATTTGTGAAAATTAACTTTCCAAAATAGATGATTGTAAACGACTTTTTAATGACGCTAAACGATTTTCAAGATAAAAATAAGCTAAAGTATAATAAACAGATTCGATCAAAGGGAACATTATGAACAAAATTATGTTTACATGATATTTTTCATTTCCTCAAGACCTGGATGATTCGAAAAATAGTAATTAATTTGAGTCCTTTAGTGACGTCAAGTAAAGTTTTCAGAATCAATTGGAAATGCAAATTTTGTCTTACATTGTGACCATAATTGGTATTATTAGTCTTTTAATGACGTTGATTTTACTGGAATACGGATTTTTTCGTAACAATGAAATGCATTATCATAAAAAACTTGTTTCAATACAATCCTGCAATTTAGAGTAATGCTCAGAAACTCTACACGAATAATATTTAAAAAAAAAAATAATCGATTATTTGTTTGATCGTACCTTTCAAAAGCGAAGCGTCTGTCGTCACATCTGGAACATAAATGTACTTGTCATACAAAAATTTCGAGTAATTTTTTGTTTAAATTAAAAAACTTTTGAGAAGGGAAAAGTTCGTACACAAACTCATGGAGCAAATAACGATCAAACGATAAAATATTTTTTATTCCGAAACCAAAAAGTGATTTGAACGAGTAGCATAACGCTGACCATTACGCGGTATATGCTATTGATAGGCTGCATCAGGTTGAGCATTCGAAACCAGAGAATAATGCGCGATCGCGTCTTCTGGAGCACATTCTGCCCAGGGCCGATTCGAGCTCACGTTCCGTTGAAGCAGCACGTGACCCAGCTGCGAAAAGGGAAGGTACTGTGTTGCGTCACGTCTGTGTGACGTCACGGGGTTCGCGTTACTCAACCGGTGAACAGCAGCAGCAGCTGCAGCAGCAACAGTCTCGTCTGTATACCGAAGAATGAGAGAAAGAGAGAAGATAGAAGAGGGAGTCGGCGGCAAGTGCTTATTAGGAATTCCACGCGGTCTGCGTATGAATCGCACTCTTTGCTCGCCCCCGCGCTCGCGCCGCACGCGAGATTTGTACGTGCTTGCGGCATACTGCTATCTCCACCAAACTGACCGCGGCTTCGTCCATCCACGTGGATTCGTCGTCCGTTCGTTCGTTTCTTCGTTCGGCGCTTTATATCGGTCTCGGTCGGTTAGTCGCTTAGCTTTGCGCGACAAGCACGTCCTCGGTATAACGCCTGTCGTAATCGTTTCGTATTGTTTTGCTACCGTCTAACTGTTACTGTATTTGGTTCAATAGAATATTTTCTTCATATAGTCTGCTTAAAAATTTAATGCGAATATTGAGCATTTTTTCACCTTTTTTACGTTTTTTCGAACGTTTTCTACTGAATAGTTTATTTTCGAATAATAAAGCATTATCTTAAACTAGCAACCTATAAATCATGTTGTCTTGAGTGAAACTATTATTACTGAAGGAAGTAACTTTAATTGACATTGTACACTTTCCATGACAATTGATTTGAACGAAAAATTGTGTATTTTCATTCATCATCAAATAGTTAATTAAAATCTAACTGAGATTTTAGGTTTTGTAACAATTGAAACAGCGAGTCGAGTATTCTCCAGGATTTGTACACTTTTGGTAATGTTTACTTCGCGATACATTAAAGTATCTGCTATTATTTTTTAAGTTTAAAAAACTCAGTTCAGTAGAGAGCGTCCTTAAGCGCAAGTTAAAAATTTATCGTATCATGTACTTATCTCTTAATCGAAAAGTATGAAATTTCACAAGCAACGAGATATGCCTTGAAATATGATCGAAATCGATAACTGCGTGACGGTAACATTTATACTCATCATGTTTTTAAGTATACATCTTCATGATTGAGTCAAACACAAACATTTTTTTTATTGTTAAGGCGCTCACATCAAGCTTTTTTATCGCGATCGTATCAAAAGTGGATTTAAAATTTCACTTAAACAGTAAAATTAGCACTTTTAAATAATGCAGAAAAAATATATCAATAATATGAGACATTATATCGTTTTATCATAATAAATGCCCGACCTGGAGAACGAATAAGGTGTAAAACAAAATAAGAGAGGAAAAATACCCACCTTAAACATCTTTGTGCAATAAAACAAGTGATCGACAATTTGAATAAAATTACTTCGATTAACGCGCGAGACGCGGTATAATAAGAATATTCTCCCCTCATTGGAATTCAGTAAATTCGAGGACAAATTAAAGACTGGGCTACTTTGCTCTTTTTCCTATGCTACGGTATTATATGGTGCACATCGCCAGCAGTCGAGCTTCTTAACGGTTAAATTCGCACAAATTAGCATATTTTAAAAACCTTTGGAGACGTTTGTGTATGCTTCACAAATTTAACGATGCTCACGGATCAAACTAAAAATTGTTTCTAAATATTTCGACGCTGATACTTAAACTTTATGATTCAATGATTAAGTTTTTCATAGTTCGCAAAAACACATTTTCATTTTCAAAATAATAAAATTTGAATACAACAAAATTAATTGTCAATGTTCTACGAAATAAAAATTGAAGTTTTTTAGTAACAGCTTATGTCTCGCATAATTTTCGCACTACTTTTTTGTAAACTTCATGTACAAGCATTTACTTGACAAGTTTTTTTTTCACATCATTCGAATCAGTAACACGCGTGAATGATCTCTCGGAACCCTTTCATTTCGAATTCGGCTTTAGCTGAACAGATAATTAAGGCGTCAAGCCAGACGTTATTGACAGTATCGTTAGTCGCTTTTTCAACTTGGATATCCTGTACTAAAGTTAATCAATCATGTTTGAAAAAAATCAGTAACAGCCAATCAAGTTGAATTATTTTTGATTATTCTTGAAAATCCGTAATTTTTATTTTTCAAACTTAGTTTGCTGCTGTTGAAAGTTGTAATTTTTATGTAGAGAACTAATAGTTTTACATTTTATAACATACACCGACTTCACGGAGTAAAAGTATCTTTTTTGCGAATGTTAAACAGCATGTATTCAAACACATAACTTCAATGTTTCCATCAAATTGTCATATTTTACTTCTATTGTATAGAAAAATTTAGATATTTTTCTTTTAAATTTCATTATTTATGAAATGAAAAAAGAATATGAAATTAAAAAAGAACTGAACTTTTATTTTAAATCCTTTGGAAAATAATTTCACTTCATCAAAATATTATCAAAAAGCGTTTAGATTAAAGAAGTAAATAAAAGTGTTTTGAACAATCTAGTTTATACGTAAAAAGTGTCAAGTTTTCAAGTTTGTGAAAACGTGAGTAGAGCAAAAGCTGAAAGAAAAATATCTAAAAGACATTAGATGTAAGGTGAGATGGTTGACCTGCGTTAGTAATAAGAATAAATGTGACCCTATTACGAACTCAATTGTTACAAAGCCACGGATGGGTCATAAGCCGATCTTTTTGTCGACTGTTGAAAAACTGTTTAGAGGGGAGATACCATCTGAATGAGGTCTGCATTCTAGGTTAAGAAAAAGCTCTAACGCCGATTTTATAGTATTTTATCGTTTCATTCACGAAAATACTTATTATTGCATGAAAATGATCATATAAATTGCCCCTTGATTATAACATTAACATCGATAAAGTTTATCGATAAATTTGAAAATCACGAAACAATCTTAAAAATTAAAACACTTTGAAAATGTTCATTGACGATAAATATTTGAATTAATTAAAAGGAAACCATGAAGGAAAAAATCATATTTGAAACAGATAGAAATTACATTCTATTTTCAATTAGCTTACTCTTGTTTTAGGACAAACAATTGACAACGTATCAAAAATGTGAAAAAACGTATCATTAAGTACTCACCGTGCATTGACTGAATTTGGATTGCCAACATCATCCATTGACGGTTTCCTAGAATGAAACCACATATGTAGTTCGTTAGTGTTTGCGCGCAAGTGCAGCAGCGCAGGATGCGCCGCGGCAGCTCCATAGCCGCCAGTATACAAATTTGGCGCCTGCCACACGCCTCCGAACGATTGAACGTCCATTTTTATTTAACACTATAATTACAGCTCTCTATTTATACAGTAAAAAAAAAGAGAGTATTCATAAAATCAGAAAAGTCGCGGCCGTACACCTGTGGTAAGTCCGAAATAGAGCGGCAGCAGCGGTAGCAATCGAGTAAAGCTGCCGCCGACTCGTGCAAGCGCGTACGATCAAGTGTTGCGTGTCGGATATATAAGCACGCGTCGTCCTCCGAGGGGTTGATCTCGAGCGACCCCTCCACGGATATTTTGGTGCGCCCTTTGTGATGTTGCTGCTGCGAGTCGTCGTCTTTTTTGCGCCCTGCAAGTGTGGCGTTCGAGCACGCGCGATGGAACTTACATACACTAACATTCGGACCAATACACGCTTCAATGTATTATGCACGATTTGTTCATGCGATTGTTTCGTACTCTTGTCGTAAACATGCTTCAGATTGGCCAAAAAATCATTCATTGGCAAAGATGACAAATATGAACATGTTAATATGACTGGACTGCTTTGAGCATTTTTTAAAATACTATATTATTTATTATTTTTTTCGTGCAATTCGAAATCATGCTGGGTATCTTAGTTCCGAGACTCTTACATAATGAATATTATAATACTTTTTTTTTACTCGAAATAGATGAAGTGCCAACTTTCTAGAATATAAATTATAACTCATATTTGAAAAATGCATCTCCAAAGCCATCAATCTTTTTTTACTTTATTGACATTTTATTATTTTATATATTGCGGTAATTTCGATGTGAAAACTTTTTTAATACATGAAAAAATTATTTTTGAGTTTAATCTTATTGTCAAGCTTAGTCCAATAAGTCTCTTATATACATTAGAAGCGAGTCTAATTCGCCTAGTGTTATTATAGTTTGGCTTCACGGAGTTGAGATCTGACTCGCGCAGACGATTGCTGGCAGTGAGCAGCTATGTATATTGTGAAATATATGAAATGTGTACGCGTGCGACACACGTCCCGGCAATTATATTTACACAAATGTGCGCGCCTACGTCCGGAAAAAGGACTGCTTGGCTCTCTTTGTACCTTGCCGCACTCGCATGCGCGTATAAGAGTGTATGTGTGCGCCACGAGCCTCGAGAAGGGTGAGCTCTCTATCTTCATTTGGGCCGTGCCGCGAGCCCCGAGACGCCAATAAAGTCTCGCTATCTTGCTCTCTTACTCTACTATTCCTATATATACGCTCTGAGGTACATTTCGGGCCAACCCCCTACGAGTGTAACTCGGCTGACGCTGTCGCTACTGCTACTGCTGCCGCTGCCACTGCTGCGGCTCGACGAGATTATCTCGGAGCGATTAGCCCGTTATACGATGAGACCGAGTTAGGGAGCATTGATGTCGAGCGATCGTCTTCGAGGAGCATAGGCACAGGCACACACCCACGCACGGTAGCCAAGTAAGCTTGATGGAATTTTAATGTAGTCACCACTGACGTATACGCCAATACAACCTCATGGCCAGCATTTCGCTTGGAAATCCTGTATTTCCAATCGTTCGACGTGCTTTTGTTTTAATTTACTTTGCTACTATGCTTGCCTATCTTTTGGGTTGTTCAGTCACACGGGACATTTATCGCAGAATTGAGTGGAACTTGATTTGCTATTACTGATTTACTGATTGATGTTCCTTTTCTCAAACAGGTTTTATACTTTATTGCCAAGTTGCTTCTTTCTTTTTGTAAAAAGATCCTGCTTTTAAACTTTCTTCAGTTGTGGGTCAAAGAAATATCTTGATCATGTCGAAGGATTCATCATTTAGCAGATAATCGCGTCAGAAAATTAAAAATATTCACATTAAGAGTGAAGTTTCATTTAAAGCACTATAAAATATCAACAATGTCCATATTTATATAAGTTGAGCGTAAAAATGTTGAACATAATAAAAAGTAAGGCGAAAAAACGTTCTAATAACTAGTCTAATAATTGTTCATTTTATATCCTTATAAATCGAAGTTGCACAAAAATGCCTTAATCGGGAACTCGTTCGACGAGTATATATTCATAGGGTACTTACAGCCTACCAACTGACCTGTGCGTGTAATGACACGTGCAGACGAAAAACTTGGTTTCTTGCGGAATAGACGCCCTTTCGAGCATACATTCATTGTAGTTTCACAGATTTCTTTCAGAAAAATCTTGAGTAAGTTTTGTAATGGATTTACAGTGTCATAATTTGTAAAGGTGTGACCTGTAAATTATTTCAACGCAGTGAATTTAGAAAACAAACTTTTTTGCTCTTGGGCTCGGCTGCAATGCAGAATCAAGATAAGCAAGTCTCGGAATCACGACAGCTTCTTCTTATTTGACTTTGCTTTTTCTGATGAAGAGCTTTACACTTTTACATCTTGTTCGTGTGCACAAAAACTACGAGATTATAGCACCTGAGATTAAGGATATGAAGTCTCGTGACGATTCTTAGATTAGCTAGAGAACGTCAATTTGCTCCAAGGATATTCATGAACGCATTGTTTTTTATGCGCCACCAGGAACAGTATGAAAGGACGAGTATCGCGTAACAGTATGATTAACGATGGAAATGCAACAGCTCGAGCGTTCGATTCCCAGAGTATTTTCCAATCAGTGTTTACAGCCCTTACACTTGAAGAAAGCGAAACAAGTATTTATAGTGGTTACTCACAGCGTGCGTTCCTATATAAGGATAGTCACCGAAAGAAACGGCTCTTACTGCAGCCACTGCTGCTGCTCGATCAGGGATTAATAGTCGATTCTTACTAATTACGAGTGACTTTCGCAGTTATATCCCATGTTCGTACCTAACACTCGCCCTTATGTCGTTTGGATTTTTTGCTTCTTGTCTTTTTCTCTTCCTCTAGTTCTCTTCGAAGTAACGTCTGTATAGTATAGTATATAAGACTGCTACTTTTATCAGCAATAGCAGGCAAAAAAGATCATCATTGTGACAATTTAACTCTTTTCTTTGCCGAGCTGTTATTCATTAGTAATGCCTTTTATTTTTTTTCTTCTTTCGTTTGTTGTCTGTCTGTCTATGCGTATTTCTTTTTTCTCTCTTCCTCTCACTCTTTCTTCGTCGTTTCTCTTTCGTTCAACTGCGGCATTTGTTGTTGATTGATTTCTTGAAAATGTGAACGCACACATTCACTCGCGAATATGTATATATATATCCGTTTTTATGTCATTTTTTTCAGATTGAGCTAAATTTTTATGTTAAAACTATTTAGAGTTTTGTTTGATTGATTTTGTTATGCCTGATCACAACTGCTCATCGAAATCAACCTGTAATAAAATGTTCCATTCTATGCAAGCTAATTTATTGTAGCAAACCAATAATAATTGAAAAACAAACTTATGTTGCTCTTGAAAAACCATCAATACATTTCATTCGTATTTGAAATGTTTCATAAATTTCAATGTTGATCATACAGTCAATGAATCGTTGGATATATTAGTTCATAAGAGGTGTTAATAACAATTTTAAATTCCGACTGACCGGTAGAAAAAGCAAAGCATGTAAAAGTACTTCTTCTTGGGTGCAGTTAGTTTACGGGAACAATTTGGTAGCTTGTCAACTATCATTAAAATCAATTAGAGATCAATGAATGCTGTCCTGAAAGAAATCGATCGGTTTAACGAGATCGAGAATCGATTAGTGTCTCAAAAGCAAGTAACCAAGCTCACTAATGTACACTCAATATGACACACGCTGCAAAAAAAGTAGAAGTACGGATAGGAGTTACGCATGTGAATAAAATAAAACGCCAATCATTATTAAATATAAATTTCGTTTTTCACTTTGATTTTACAAGCATAATAACATAAAAACATTGAAGTAGATATCTACTGTTGAGGCTTTTTCATTCCAATACAGTAGCTCTAATGCAAGGTGGATTTTTATAATTATTTATTTTCCTTTAACTGCTTATTATTCAAGCTTGCAAGAAGTGATCTGTCCGATTGATTAATGCAATATTTAACGAGTCCTAGCTTTGCAGGATAAATTCGTAGAAAACGTACGCGAATAACCCAACTACATTTTCTTGCATTTACATGGTTTTGTATCTCATCTGCGCCTGTAGAGCGAAGAATGAATGTATACGCTAACGATTCGTTGGTTCGGTGACGCCGCGTACGTGTATAGATACCGTCTTTGATTTTCGGACGAACGCGTCACTTCTGACACTTTTCTCGCTTCGATCTAACAGTCAATCTCGGCAAATTTCTACGAGGGCATGTAAATTTATAGATTGATGCTCGGGTTGTTTGTTTTTTGCTTCTTAGTCACTCCATAGACTATTGCGCATGTACTTTACTATTGACTTCAAAATAACGATTGAAAGAGATGAACCATTGATACAATTTATTTTTTATCATTTTCCTTACATTTATTTGATGAATACCGATGATGGAAAAAACAGTGCTCCGTTTCATCATTAATAAAAGAATTTATTTTGTCGATAAAAAAAATCGAATGCCGCTGTTGTTTAAAATTGATTTTTACGCGCTTCGTTTGCTTACGCCATGCCAAAAAAGTCAAGCATTTTAATGTGGAAAAAGTCTCATAACATCACTGCTGATTATTCGGCGATTTCGTCGAAAAAGGCACGCGCAAAGTACAAGAATGCATGGCAAGACTGTGCAGCAGATGCTGCTGCTGCTGCAATAGCCAGCAGTGTTTGTATAGCCAAGGTATACATACATACATAGTATACACACAGACTGGCAAAGACAGAGCTCGAAGAAGATGGGCTCATAAAAAGCACGTGGCTGTTTCTGCTCAAAGAACAGGACGATTAGCCGTTGTCCTTTGTGTGCGCGATTAAAATACAGGTATCCACCGATAAACTTCTTTTAGGCCACGCGCCGCTCATTGA